GCATTCTATCAGCTTTAAATCCAATATTCATACATAGTTTTCTTCTTTAAAACTGTAGGGGTTTGTTCATAGTATTGTTTAGTTTTCATATTCCTCTCAGTAAATCTTGATGGAATAACCTTTCTCTAAGAACACTCTTTTAGCTCCTCATTTATTGCATCATCTGAACAAATGCCTATGATTCTTGTAAATGGTGAGTCAGATTTCATTCCCTGCCAAGTGAAACCCAACTTTAGGTTTGTTTCCTATAAATCAAAACTATTCCTTTGAAAAAGTGTATATAAAGAACATGAAAGCCTTGCTTACTAACGAAAGTAGATACATAGAACTTTAGACTAGTAATGAAAAGGATTATATTTCGAATCCTGGAGAAAACCTAACTTTCTGTGAAACTTCAGTCATAACATCTAAATATGTAGAGCGTTTGTGATCCATCATCTAAATTTGACGCTTTCTGTATATAGGTAGCATAAAATGAAACACACTTTATTCGAGATAACATCATAGATAGGTTGGAAAAATATGAAACGAGATAACAGAAGCATTTCTGTGCAAATTAAAAAAGTCCCATTGATTAAGTTGTGGTTTCACAGCAGTATCATAGCTTTCTTAGGTAGGTATTTCATAGGTTGACCTTTTCAAAACTGATCCAGCAGTCGGTTTTGATGGACCTTCGTAAGGAGGCTGATTTTCGTAACTAAAATCCATCTGAATTGTTCAATTTAGTGCTTTTCATTTTACACTCATCATCTTAGGCCTTATTGAGTAGTCGGTTTCCTTTTGTAAAAACCATATTGAACATTATGCCAATGACGCAACTCTCTGCTTTATCATTCAATATAAAGATGTTATATACTTCTAATGAATATAAGTGCACTTATAGAACTTAATGAAGCGATATAATCGAAAATGAAGTTCTTCTCATTGATTCGCACTTTCCCTAATGATAATCTTTCATCATTGAACAGGTATTTGCACGAAAATGTAATCCGAATATACGGTATATGAAATATTATTATTATTTGTCCCTTGGGTTCCTAATGGAACATAGGGCTTCAGTAGCACGTCTCCAATGTTCTCTGTCCTCTGAAATCTTTTGGACCTGGCTCCACGACAGCCCACAAGATCTCATTTCCCCCTCACAACATCTCCTCCATGTCACCCTTGGACGCCCAACTCATCGCTTCCCATCGGAGTTCCACTCGAGGGCGTGACGCGTGATGTCCCCAGTCGGCCTTCTCAGTGTATGCTCAATCCATCTCCACTTCCTCCAGCATATTTGTTGGGTGATAAGTTTTTGATTGGTTCGTTACCATCCAGAGTTCCTTGTTGCTTATTCTTATTATTCTGGCCATCTGAGCTTGAGTAACGAGCCAGCGTAGGCAGTTGTTGATAAATGTCTGTAGCTTGTTGTAGATGCCTTTCGTGATGCGCCAAGTCTCTGAACCATACAGAGTGTGCTCGTGGTTTTCGTCTGGGTGACCGGAGTAGATTATTGATTCTCCAGTTGACAGTTTGGAGAATCCACTCCCATTCCATCTGCTTTCGCAAATTTCAAGCACTTCAATGTCATACAATTTCATCTCGTCTGCAATCTGGGCTAGCTTGCTGGGTTTAAACATCGTGCGGACATTCCATATCCCCACGTTTACTTTCGCTTTCATCTAGGGAGAGAAGACACATCGGCCAATTGGCTTCCCGAGGGCTTTCACCAGCCGGCGTCATTTCGCCTCTCCGATTCCAGCGAGGAATTATTTTGTTTTTATTTTTTACATTTTAACTGTGCTTTGAAGTTTCTTTAGCGGTTGGATCGGTTTTCCGGGGTAGGGTTGCTAGCTCTATGCCCAACCTTCCCTCTTTACCCGGGCTTAGGACTGGCTAGTAACTAGTGAACTAGTCAACCAGGCGAGGTTGGTATATGAAATAAATTCATCTTTTCAAGTGGATGGTACTTTTACCAAAACATTTCTTCGTTAGACATCTCAGTTTAACGCCTTAAAAATGTATTCACAATCAGCTATGTTATCAGAATCAATCTCTTAGTGACTTAATACTGTAGAACACTGTTTCTGATGTTCAGTGTTTGCTATCAACTAACAGAGAGATCTAAACTCAATGAAAACGTGAATCTATATCATAAAATGTTTTTTAGAAGCTATTTTCGAAACTAAACTTGCTGGTAATCGGCATTTTTCTGGCTTTCTAGAAGAATTCAAGTGTTATAAGTCCAATGTAAATAACAATTGAAATAGGTTTTTTAGATTATTTCGAAACCTGTCGCTTCTGAACAGCATCAAGTACCAATGATGGCTTCCTATACAATAGTTTGTAAAATCCCTAGGACATTACTTAGGCAGCTAATGCTTATTACCTATAAGATTGAGATGAATAATAAGTAACCCTGAAAAGTGTTTCAACTTCTTGGTTTAACGAACTCTTGATTTATTATCAAATCAAATGTTACTCCAGTAACTTTAACGAAATTGAGTAGACTATGGATCGATATGCTAAGTATATGTCTGTGGGATCGTAGTTGGTTCAGGATTCACAGCCTTATCGACTGATTATACCATACTTTCCTAAGGGTTAGCGCTAAATCTCAGCATTATTTGTTTGTGATTCAAATATTCATGACTAACAACCTTCACACAAAAAGTCTTGCAACCGTCTTATACAACCCATCTCTATAAGCTATGCTTTACAACTGACAGCGTACTACTGAGCACGAATTCACAGTGATAAAAACGAATTTCTACCCAACTGTTATTGATCACTTTTTCGATGACGATAATGCTGAATAAATACAAACAGGTTAAAATGCTAATAATAATATGGAGTAATTTATGCTAAAGAATGTTTTTCCAACCGCCTATGGTTTTTACAGACAAAGTCTGTATACTTTTTAAGCATGATGAATTGATGAATCACGCACAATAATTTAATTGACGTGTTCCAGATTGACTGTTATGATTAGTCACATAACTGGGTGGGGTATAACTCAACAGACTGTGAAGACTACAAGGCAACATTACGCAGTCATTGTGTTGTTTTTCTTACTACACTAACCAAGTTACTGTCACAGAAGTATTAAATCTAAACATTATATGTATATTTATGGACGATTAAGTGGTCACTTTTATACACGAGAAAAGATAAATTCTAATTTTTTCCCCCAACTAATGGAGAGAAAATATGATTAATGCTCTTGTATTGACTGAACAAGGCCATTGGGTATGAGGAAAGTTGCATGAAAAGCACATAGATTTGATAAAAACATATTTCTGAAGGCTTAATTTTGAGAATTGTTTACTACTGACAAATCTTCGAAACGGAAAAAAAAAAGAATATTCTCTACTCTGACGATTTAAGTAGTTATTTAACTAGCTTCAATGCGTTTAAGGGACCATTTTGACCGAAATTTGAGATTATCTTGATCTTTTTATCCTATGCTTTCTTGTGGTCATCAAGTGTCATTCGCCTTGTAGTCTGTTTAGTGGCTAGCAGTGGAATCCTGGACGCACGTTTTGTTCTACTTAGGACTTGTCAGCTGAATGTTCCTGTACTTCAATGTTCAGTGTTTTTCTCATTGCGACAAGCCCGGAACCCATCACTTCAACTGTCAGAGCCTCATCCACTAAGGCACGAGATCCACCACTTGTGCAACGGATATCAGTTATTGTTTATTTTTGTAGTTTCTCTTTGGTATACTCAATCGAATTGGTCCGTCTTTGTTAGCAGATGAGCTCATATGTGAATGCCTCGTGACGGCCTGCATATTCATTGTGTTGTAGTGTGTGTAGTGTAGCAATGCCATCTTCGTTGTTTTGATACAATAGGCTGTCAGAGTTCTGTAGGTATGAACTAGAAGTTTGCAAAAAGCTTTTCGTTTCATTTTGGTTGATAAAGGTATTAGTCTACCATTAACAAACAGCGAAAGTATTTTTTTGCATAAGCTATTTGCCACTAATACTTGAAAACTGTCCACTGTTATCAAATATGTAACGTATCGTATCATGTACCTTTTACTTCCATGCTTGATGATGGCAGGAAGTAAAAACAGTCCTGATGACATCATCAATCCTAGGAGTGAAACATCCCATTCCACAGTATGTCAGACCTTTAAAAAAATTATCGTTATCTTAATCCTCAGCTACAAATCTTTGCTATCATCCCTTACATTGGTTCAAACGGAAGCTTGTTAATGGTTACAGACAATAAAAATTATTTTTTAGCATCACAGCACAGAGTGTAGGTGGTGAATCAAATGTATGCGGAATAGAGTAACTAAGTAGGGTTAGACTTTCGATGTTACTGGGATGAAATTTAAGTGGTCTTTTTCAGCTAATAAAGTACCGTTATCTTAATTCGAAAGGTATATCAGATACACGAGAAAATGAGTACTGGAGGAGACATAAGTCAGAAGTTGAAGCCATTTAATTGTGTGACTTAAAATCACTGATATCGACATAAATGCGTTAACTATCCCACCTTTTTGCAGTATTTTCAATACGTTTTTCAAATTATATACTTTTTTCAACTACTTAGTGTCGTATGAAAGCCTAACTATGGTGACACTGCTAACCTGAGCGGGGGACTTTGATCAGCACTAACAGAATTTCTTGTTAGTTGACTCCTAATATTCAGTGCCAAAGTTACCTAGTTAATGACTCTTCTCTTCCTACCGTATCTACTTGCGACATAGACAGACCTTAATCCACTAAGACCTAATTTGTCTATCTATCTACCCAAGTTACCGAAATTCAAGTCAGTACAACAGATTGGAAGAGAAAGGAAGCGCAGAAAATAAAGCTATATAACAACTATTGCAGAGGAAACGAAAAAGGGAGTGAATAGGTTTTAAGTGTTTTAAGATTTTAAATATTTAGATGAAGATACAGTGCAGATTTCAACTGTCCCAGATTAGTCTAGTTCAACAAACAATTTGTTCATCTTTACCAACTTCGATCAATGATTATAATTTTTATCTTTTAACGTTAAAGGCTTGTGGTCTACAGATCAGTAATCAGTTCAGTATTAAAAATCGTGTTATTGCATCTCCACCACTGTCAATAGCAGCAGCTCCAGGATTAATATTGGCTCATGGACATGTGGCTACACATTTAAAAAATACACCAGCTGATGTATTTGTCAGCTCAGATGGTGGTTACACATGGCTTAAGGTAAGTTATATATTATTGATAATCTTTATATACTTGGATTATTTATACAGAAAACTACTACATGCATCTTAGTTTACCTCACTGTTTGTTATGGCTAATGTAGTAAGCGAAAACTAGAGAGCATTGTAAAACTAATCCATTCTAGTTGCGAAATCTTTAGTGGTGCCCATCAGCTACGCTATACTGGACCATCAAGTTTAGTGGGGAGAACTTTACTATTCAGTCACTGAGTTAAAGGATGGTCAAATGGTGCTGGAGTGTTCCAAAGTGAAACAAAATACCACTTCTAGTTGTGATGGATTTTCTGTTTAATATTACTGCGTGTCTGAAATTGTTTCGAGATCATTTTAATGTTTTAGATGTGAAGACTCATTCCATCTGATTCAGTTTTCGTATATAATCCAATAATGGAACGTTGATGACATACATAATATGTATAAAATTTTTCCCAGCTCAAAAATATTTTATATTTCACATTCTTGTACACATTCTTCATAGCTTGAACTCATTTAGTGAGCGACTCTTAAGGAAATTTTTGCGATAGCTAAAACAACGAATATGACTTTTTTATTCTTTACAGCCAAAATTATTATTATTTGTCTCTTGGGTTCCCAGTGGAACATAGGGCTTCAGTAGCATATCTCCATTCCACTCCCCCCTCTGTAGTCTTCAAAACCTGGTTCCACGACTACGCACAAGCTTTGATTTCTTCCTCACATGATCTCCTCCATATCACCCTCGCTCACACACACAAATCTTCGTTTCCCATTTCGATTCCACTCGACAGTCTCGCCTGGCACGTGATGTCTCTGAGTGGCTGGCTCTCTCAGTGTATGCCCAATCCAACCTATCCCCACATTCTTTTGCATATTTGTTGGGTGATGGGTTCTTCAGTGGTTCGTTGTCAACCAACCAGCCAGCCAGCCAGAATTCCTTCTTGCTTATTCTTTCTAGACACCTCATCTTCAGTATTGAGTAAGTTTAGTCAGCAGCTGTTGGTGTATGTCTGTAGTTTGTTGGCAATGCTTTTGGTGATGCACCAAGTTTCTGAACTGTCACATAGAAACACTGACTTGACTGACATTGGTGTTGAAAATCTGCATGTTGTTCACGCTTTATGCTGAGTGGAGTGTAGTGGAGTAGATCTCCATACTGGTTTCAGGTTAATGAAGGAAGGCCTGTCTGGCTGTCTTTCCAATTCTGGCTTTGAAGTCCTCATGCGTGCCTGGCCACCGCCTGTAGTTGGAACGATGCTGTCTGGGTAGAGAGGTAGGTAGGTAGGTAGGTGAAAGAGACTACTTCCTTTAGGTTTCTCCTAATTCATGGTGATTGGTGCTTGTTGTTGTTGTTGGTTGAGTATCTTCATCACCTCTTTCATCTCTACGTTCACCTGAAGGAGGTCCCGTCTTCCTTCTCTGCCCTGTCCTGCCTCTTCTGTCAACTTGTTGGTTATTGGCTGTAGATCTTGGAGTTTGTGCGACAAGACATTAGACATAAATCATCATCGTAGGTGAAATGTAAATCTTCTTCTGGGGTGTTTTCATCGGTCCAGCCAGTGTATGCCCTTCTTCTCGCTCCTCACGGTTTGCTGTATGATCCAGTTGACCAGAATCGAGAAGATCATCGGTGATAGTAGGTGGCAGCCTTGTCTTACTTCTGTTCCCTGTCTTCACTTGAAAGGCATCATTAAACTTCCTATTGAGGATCACTTGGCATATGGCGTCTTTTCATAGCTATCAAATGACATTGAGAAATTTTTTTAATACTAAAATGGTAGTATGAAGCAACTGCCAAATTACTTCTCAGTCGACGCTGTCGGAGGCCTTTTCAAAGTCGATGAATTTGAGGTAGAGTATTGACTGCCATTCTATACTCTGTTCTATGGTGATGCATAGCATCGCAATTTGATCCTCACATGATTTGTTCTTCCTGAATCTAGCCAGCCAGCCTGTTATGGCGGTAATTTTTAATCCAGCGCATCTTTTAGTCTCTCTAGGATGATGAGGAATAATGTTTTGCTTGGGTTGGAGAGCAGCATAATTCCTCGCCAGTTATTGCAAAGGCTTAGGTTTCCCTTCTTTTTGATTTTGACAAGGTAGCTCTTCTTTCAATACACAAGCAAGTATCTTTCCTTCAGTAGTGGTGTGAGCGTGTTCGCTAATATCTCTGCATCTGTTTTCAGTGCTTCTGGAGGAATTCCTTCTGGTCCTGCTACTTCACAGGATTTCAGCAGTTTTATGACATTCAGAACTTCACTCCAAATCTTGTCAAAGGGCTCGTGTTCACCGATAGTTCTGTGGCTGGACTGCCAGTGGTATTGCTGGATGAGTTGCAGGTGGTAGTGGTGGTGGTCGATTCAAGAGTTTTTTGAAGTGGTCAGCCCATTGTTCCCTTGGTTTCTCTTCTGCGGTTACTAGGTTTCCCTCACTATCTTTCATTGGTTTCGTGTAACTTGATCTCTTCCCAGATAGTAACCTGGTTATTTAGTATAGTGTAGTTAGCTCTCTCCCATAGCCTCTGGCCTGTTTTGCTTCACTTGCCAAAGTGTCGTAGAAGTGTCTTTTGCCTTTCTGTGTACTCTTCTTCGCTTCTTTGCTCACTGTAGTGTTTTATAGGTTGTGTTCAGTTCCTCTTTTCGTTGTTGATCTCTGCACTGCACTGGTTCTTCTGCTTCACTATCACCATCTTCCTCTCCCTCGTCTATCAGCTTCCATGTGTCCATCGAGATCCATTCCTTGTCTTGCCTCTTCTTCTCCCTTCCTAACACGATTTATGTAGGTTTCCTTCCACATCTCTCCGAAGGAGTTCCAGTGTTCATCCACACAGGTTTCTTCAGGGATGTTGCTCAGTGTCTCCCATTTGGTCCTGATGGCTGACGTGAAGATGTCGCTTGTAGTCTTGTCCTTCAGTTTCAGTTCCGCGTCCAACTTGAACTATGGTCTATCACCAACTTCTCTGAAGTCTTTCAACTTTATTTTCAAGTTAGGTTCCTTGCACTAGATACTGAATGGTGTGAACCTACATCTGCTCCCCTTCTCGATCTTGTGTTCAGTAGTCTGCGTCTCCACTTTCTTCACTTTGAGATGAAGTCGATCTGGTTTGTAGTGTAGTTTGTTCATCTGGTGAAATTGAATCCATGTCGCTACTTTGTGAATATCCTTGTGTTTGTACACACTACCTCGCCTCCAATCACTAAATCATTGAATACGCAGACCTTTTCAAACAGTTCTCCATTCTCATTCATTTCACCGACTGCCTCTCGACCCATGGTCACTCCTCTTCCTGTGTTGTCTTCTCCCAGTTTGGCATTCATGTCACCCCACCCATTAGAATTTTGATGATCGGGGTGTAACTTCATTACTGAGTGATAAGGATTCTCATCTGAAATTTAGTATGAGTTTCCGCCTGATCCTGGAGGAGATTGGTCCCCACTGTTGAGAGCCTTTGATGCTGTTTGGGGACATCATAATAGCCACTTCAAAACTCTATGTACTTGTGTTTGTCGTCTGGGTGACAATATCGGAGTAGATTATATACTCTCCAGTTGACAGTTTGGAGATCCCACTTCCAATCCATCTGCAGATTCCTCGCAGATCCCTGGCACTTCTATGCTATGCCTTCTCATTTCTCTCTCATTGTGAGCAGTCTTGCTAGGTTCAAACATGGTGCGGACATCCCGTGTCCCCATGCCTACATTCTCGTTCATCGAGAGAAGACACATCGACCGATCGGCCTCCCGAAGGCTTTCACCAACTGGCGTCATTTCTTTCCTCTGATTCCAGTGAGGAATAAGTTTATTTTTATTTTTATTTTTTCTTTGTGCTTTGAAGTTTCTTTAGCGATTGGATTGGTTTTACGGGGTAGGATTGCTAGCCGTACGCCCAACATTCCCTCTTTATCCGTGCTTAGGTTCGTCTAGTAACTAGTGAACTAGTTATCTGGGCGTGGTTTTACAAGGAAAATGGAGAAACTTAACTGGCTATTTCAGTCGTTGCTATGATTGGTTTTAGAGTCACTTCGTTCCGTTGTTCTAGTCACATAATTAGATTGACTCTAAAAGCCACAATAACTAGTACTGAAGTAACAAATTGGGTTCCGCTATTTCATCTGAAATGGTGGCTTTATTCATTAACCAATGTGACTTAATTTGTTACTACAGTAGTTAGCAGGATGGTCTTTACAACTACACCATAAGTAATTGATGTCTTGATATCTTGTGCTTGAATTGATGGCTGCAAACTATGAATATGATACTATTAGATGATTCTGACTATCTACATGTCACATTATCTGGATTTCACTGCACTCGCTACGCTACACGCCAGTAGGTTAACCACTGGACTAAACATAGGGTGTGTTATTATTCGCAACCATTTAACTATCTACCTTTCTTGCCCTTTCGCCGCACAATAGCGGATGAAGACTAATAGCTTCATATTCTTATATTTCCTATGCACTGTTGTTCATTTCACTCAGCATGAAGTGGTTTCGCAACCATGTGTAGTAGGAATTTAGGTGTGGAGTTAGTAAAAAGCTTTCGCTCTGAGCTATGCCATAATTCTATTAAATAAGTCCTAGGTAAGATGTTGTATGCAGGAAGTAGAATAATATGACTGATCATGTTTTTCTGAGATCCGTTCATTTTTTTCGGTCCATTCACAACAGCATCCACTTTTGTTGGTTCTCTAAGCTTTCACTAGGAGTGTTACCTAAAATTTCAGTGAAAAAAAGCATCACGCAACGTGTCATCTATTTGGGTAACTGTTTCCCTACGTATGGATTTTGATGCATCATGGATTGAGATCAGTTGGAAAACTGCTGAAAACCTGAGAGCACTGAACACCTGTTTGTTTCTAGAATTGGACTCGTCAGCAGTACACACCCATAGCCTCGCCAGAGTTCAGACACTTGACCTTTAGGTTGAGTAGGAGCACGTCACTATTGAACCAATGGGTTGGAATTCAGTGGTTTACAGTCTCCTACTTCTGTTAATTTGCATAATAACGTGACTTCCATCCAGTGCCATCATTGGGTACCTGTTTTCACGTACGACTTCGTTCACTCTACTAGTCCTAAGTTTGTCCCCAGGCGTGGTCTGGATACTCACTGCTAAGCAGCACAATACTGGGACGAGACAGCTGTCCAGTACTCCCAGATTTTCAAAGATTTTCCAAATGACATCAGTCCGTAGTGAATACCAACTTGAAACCAATTAAATCCCCACAAACCTCCTAAATGACATACATTTTCATTGTAAAGATGGATTACAATGACTGCAAACTTTTCTAAAATAGTACAATAGATTCATCTTTTGCATACAGAAAATCTGTTTAGATATTGCTTATCAGTGCATAGTACGCTACATACTTTACAGGAAGTTAATTTAACAACACTGTATACCAACTTTGTCAAATAAGGAATGGTCTATACGGTCTAATAGCTTTCGATACAACTCAGGGGTGAAACCATTTTTTTTGAAATTTACCGTTAGTGAAATTGTCTTTTTATGGAAAAAACTTTCAGATGGCATCTAGTAGGAAAATAAATTGCACTTCAGTTTGATATCATCCAGTTAATTGAATAAAGCGGAAAATCAGTTCCAACTACTGAATCAACAGTAAGTGGTTACAAATCATATTACGACCAATAAAATCCTCATCAAACCAAAAGCAAGTAGCGTAAAGGTGTCTTTTAGATAATATGACCTTTGCGCTTAAAAACTTTGAGTTCTGGTTATCACTATGAATGACCAAACTATCTCGAAAATAAACAGAAATGTACTCAGCAATCTTGAGCTCATTCATGTAGTTTGTTATGAGCCACAACTATTGTGTGAGGGGTAACCCTACTAACTTGCTACCCAAACTTCGACAGGTGGAGCAGTTTTCGAACTCATGACCCCACTGGTTGAAAACCAGCTCCCTAAACCAGTGAGCCACAACTCTAAATTAATCCATCGACATCCAAGTGATGAATCCTGACTCAAACAAAACGCCTACTTTGGTCGTCAGTTCCACTCATTATTCATTGCCAGGATAATATCTCAGGGATAGTACAGGAGTTTGTATCCAAGTGAGTAGTCAATTTGGCTAAAGTGACCAGCCTATATCACAGCGTCTGGATAAAATTTTTAAAAATGGTGGTGTTATTGAATGCCTAATTTATGCTCATTATCAATAATGTAAATCTCATGTGATTAGTATTGTTAATGTATATATAGTTACATAAACCGTCGATTATTTACATAAGAATTTGTTTATACCAATATAGTTTCAAAAAATGGTAAATAAATGTGTTTGGTTACCCGATTTATCCTTATTCAGTGTATCACATGACCAATAGGTAATGTAATCAAATAAACAGCTTGACATCTCGACTACTTTCACAACCAGTTAATTTTAAAGGCCACGTTAGCGACTGAAATAACCAATTCGATTTCTATATTTCTGCAGGAAGGTAGATTCTTACAGAATAGAGAAATCTGATTGGTTAATTTGGCTGTTGTTGGGACAGCCTTTAAAGTCAAGTCTCACAACGGGTGACTTTAAGGCCACCCTAACATCTGAGAAAAGAAGCAATGAGGTTGCGGTATTTTGGCTGGAAAGACAATTTTTCATAGAATACAGAAACCTGATTGGTTGTTTCATTAGTTGCTAGGTCGGTCTTTAAAGTCAATCCTCATAATTTTATAGGTTAACTGAATTCGGTTGACTTTAAAGAAAGTGACTTTAGAGGCCACCGTCTCAACAACTAAAACGATCAATCAATCAGGCTTTGATATTTCGTTTGAGAAAAAAAATGTAATTGGCTGTCTGATCAGTTGCTATGGTGGCCTTTAAAGTCACCTCTTCAAAGGCCACCTCAGCAACTGATAAGACAGCGTATTAAATTCCTTTATTTTATGGGAGAATACTTTTCCATGCGAAATACCGAAGCCTGATTGGTCATTTCGGCAGTTGCTAGGGTCGCGGTAGAAGTCACTCTTGAATTTGAATCAAGGTGTTAAATCAAGCCTAGGTAGGGAATTTAGGTGTATAACAGCTAACAAAGGGAAAGTCAAAGTCACATAGCTTTTTGTACTTTCGATTAAACTTTGGTTTTACTGACTCAATCCAAATAATTTTATTCAGACATTTTTTTCTGCGGGTTGGCTTAACCCACCAGGAGATCAGATTGTGGCATATATGTTGTTTCCTTCTATTTAAGGACTCATCAGCGTTGCACATCTGCAACCACCTATAAGTTTGAGCAGTAAAATACCATTAGACTATGCTGCTACCAAGTTATCAGTCATTCACTGTTTTCAGTATCATAGCCAGTTTTTTATAGCTTATGTGAATTATGTGTACACTGTGCTTACTATTTATCTCTGAGTTTTTCATATCTTATATGATCACGAAAACTTTAAGTCTTATTAGTAGTCCAGTTCAGATATCTGGACTTCTAGGTGTTACAACCATAAGTTATAACCTATTAGATACAATAAGTTAGGACTAAGGATATTGTTGTCTACTTAGTGGCTAGCAGTAGAAGTTAGGACGTATGTTTCCTCTTAATTGCGACTTATCAGCTGATATACCAGTACCTCAGTAAGTGATGTTTTTTCCTCGCCGAGACTCGGAACTGAAACCCATCGCTTCAAAGGTCGAAGTGTTATCCAATAAATCACTGGTGCATAGGTTTAAGTGTTTGCTTACTCAATGATGTCATAATGCAGTTGAACGCCGCTTTGAGAGTGGTCAAACAAATCACAGCGAATATTAAATCCGAATATAAATTTGTACCAGAGTGTAATAGTATTGAAATACGTTCCTGTTATGATCAGCCTATCCAGAGTGACTGTCGTGAGACTATCATGTGTAAACTATACGGTGTAAGACAGAAATTAAGCATTTCTCTGAGGTTTGTCTATGAATAGTTCACAGTGAAAGATTTTCACGCTTTCTAGCGTCTCCATAAAACCATTAGGCCACCGGATAACAATTGGGTACCATTTTGCAGAGGTCTCCTATAATGTAGGCGTCATGAAAGCCTTAATCGCTTGTGCATGTCTGCGAACAAACAAGCAAATTGTGCTTCTCAACAAATCTCTTTTGAATTGTTTCCCTAAGTATTTTCTCAAATATTCCTTCTATCTGCTTCATTGGAGTATATTCATTTCCTATTTCTGCTATTATGATCAGTAATGCATGTGTAGGTCATATCTGTTTTAACTTTCAATATTCAACAACTTGCTCTAAGTTGAATATTGAATCTCACTAACAGAAACTGTAGAATTTGAAGCTATAGACAATTTTTTTATTTTCAAAGCAAGCCTACAGAAAGGACCCAGTTGTATTTCTGCACGCGATTTAATGTGGTGACTGATGTACACAGTTTCTTTACTTCACCCTTTAATTATGGATATAGTAACAATTTTGAAGACAAAGGTGGATTCAGTCTGTTTGGAGTGTAGTCACCGGCCAAATGTAAGAGACTGAAAGAGTAGTAACGTATATTGATGTTTGGTTTTTAAGTTTTCATCTGCATCCTCGTTAACAGCAATTTAAACAAAACGATAACTGGATTATGCTTAAATCTATCCACTTCTTCACTATAAATCATACATGCAGATGCAGGTTTCGTGATGGACGGTTTCAGTGTTCAATTAGTCGGGCTTACGGAGCAAAATGATTTACACTAATACTTCATTTCACCTAAGTTGATTTACTTGAGTGAAAAAATGGTGCTTAAGCACTGGCGGGTAGACTGATTCATAGTGCCACTGTCAAATTCACTGATGAATTAGTCTTTCGCTATGTTTATATATTTTCTGTTAGTCTCTCTTCGAGGAAAACTTGTCTGTCTGCTTTAATTCAATGCTTTTCCATAATTGTGTCTGTTTCTGGATTTTTCGATGGCTGGTTAATAGCTAGTTAGTTGTCTGGTAACTGTTAGCTGATGAGTTTTGTATCTTTTTATTTTCTCTTACAGGCTCTTGATGGACCACATCACTATCAAATAGCAAATCGTGGAGGTTTACTTGTAGCTGTACCTGCGGAAACTTTATGGCCTGATGTATTACGTTTCAGTACAGATGAAGGAAGGTGTTGGCATACAATTCCATTGCGTACTGGCCAATGGAGTGTCAGTGAATCAAATCGATATCACATTAATAATGACAACAATGATATCATCAAAGAAAAGGTCCATGATCATAATGATGAAAGTGTGGACGATGATGATGATACACAAAATAAAGTAAAGCTAGCTAATGTGGAAGTGACAGATATCCCGTATTCCAAGGCTCATGGGATTGTTCTTAATAAAGACACTATCTTCAATAACCCTTCATCGTTAACTTCCACTGCTGCTGCTACTACTACTACTGTCCCTGCTGGTACTACTACAGTTAGCATCAGTAAAAATATTACCAGCTCCACACCGGGTATAATGTCTACACCGCATAACAATCATTTTCAGCAAAATGATGATGACGACAAGTGGTCTATGTCCTCTCAAAAGTCTGATGAGATTGTTGTGTTTACCGGGTTAGTTACTGAACCTGGTGGCAGAGCCATGGCTGCAGCTGTTTACGGATATGGTACAGCTACACAAAGGTGGAGAGTAGCAGTCGTCGACTTTCGAACAAATGGAATCATTAAAAGAAAATGTAAGTTTCTGTGTTTTAACCTAACTGTTATTCTGTTTCTCAATAACTTCTATGTGACTATCAAGACAGTCTTGGTTGTCATGCCAGTTTTACTGTAAAAAGATGTAAAATGATGACTTATGCATTCAGTTTTATCCTGCTTGGTGGCTATCAGTGAAATTCAACACACACGTCTCGTCCTATTTGAGAATCATCGGCCGGATGTACCCATGCCCCAGTGAGTGATGTTTTTCCCACTGACACTCGAATCAATACCCATCCCTTCAAACACCAAGTTGTTATCCACTAGGCCATCAAGACAAGATAGTCACTTCTTTTGCAACGTGTATCAGTTTTCGTTTAAATACTTGTGATCCCCCGTTGTCATACTGGGTCAAATTGCTCGATCTCAGTTGACAGATGGGCTCTTAAGGTCGAGCTACTCGACCCCGTATAACAATGGAAGATTACAAGTATCAAACAATGATTCTTTAAACAGTTTACAAAAAGGACCGTCAGGATTTTTGTCAATCTTTCTACAAAATGACATTCTAGAACGAACTTTCTAAGGTATACCACATCACAGGTGTGTCACACTCGATTTACGCTTGTAAATGTTATTTATAGTGTATGAATCATTGTATAGTATAGTGTCATTTATCCTTCAGTCGTAATGGTAACAAATTATTTTAATCGATGTCAAATCGTCCAGAGAATGTGGAAAATGAAAGTTTGAATAGATCCTTTTGACCAGTTAAGTCAATTGTTAACAAATTGTATTTATGTAATACTAAACTTTAGGAAATACGCTTGTGACCATTGCCAGCAAAAGCAAAACGTTTGGTTTTTTCCATCTATAAGTAGGTAAAAGCTGTGTCACGGTGACTTGAACATTATTATTATTTGTCCCTTTTGTTCCTAGTAGAACAAAGGGCTTCAGTAGCACGTCTCCAGTGCACTCTGTACTCTTCAATCTTTTGAATTTGGCTCCACGACAGCCCAGAAGCTTTCATTTCTTCCTCACATGATCTCCTATATGTCAACCTCGCCTATGACACCCAACTAGTCGTTTCCCATCTGGATTCCACTCGAATATGCCTATGAAAAATGTATTTATGACCTCTCGCTTCAAACATATTTTTTTATGGTCTACATAACAGTAACTGTTGTAATTTCTATTCATCCTTAGTGGATATATGTCAAAATTCTATCATAGTATATTCTTCAAGTAGCTGTTTACCACCTTATTTCGTTAACTTTGTTGTAAAATGTAACTATTTATAATGTTCTACTGCAATACGTTTTTGTAATCTTGGGTAGTATGATGAATGATATACATTAGGGAGTCTTTGAATGTACTGGACTATATCTCATTCATATATTAAGAGAATTCAATTTGAAAAAATGGAAGCGATAATTGTACAGCGAAACCCAATTCAACAAATCTATTGGGTAGCTAACCAACAAGATAAACAGATGATTATCATAAGAATATATTTTAATATAACCCCAGGGTGTTTAGAACTACTATATTTTAAAATATATTCTAATAATGTTTCAATCAGATTCAGCCCTCAACTTCTTCCAGGACTACCGTAACAATTATGATCTGAGTGTTTATAATCTTGTAAACAAATGGTTAGTTTCATGTTCGCTAAAACATTGAAACGGTTTTAATCGGATTCTATTTCAGTCTGATCATTGAATGTTCTATCTTATACGACTTTATACTATAAATGATTCTTTAATTTTGTCTAAAATATTGCTTAGAATGATTTCTACTAAGTATACGGTTTCTGATATACTTCAATGAAGTCTTTGAATTTATCTAGTAACTAAAAAAGTCAAAAATTCTAACAGCAGGGGAAAACTATTGAACTTTAATTGATGAATTTACTACTTCATCGTCGTCTGAGATGAGAATGGGGAGAGAGTTTAACTTGAGAAAAAAACCATCTACCATTCATTTCACTCTGTTATAAGTTATGAGAAGACAGATGAGTCTATGTTGTTGTGTTTTTTGAATAGAGGAAGAAATAATTCATACAATATAGTCGAAATTGTCAGTGCATAGTGAAAACAGGCACACTGTATTTCTCATCATTTACTGCTACAGTGCATAGAAGACAGGTAAGCAAATGATGCATTGGTGTATCAAATATTAGAAAAATAATGGTATCTATAACACTGATGACTGTCATGTATGCATATTGTCAGTAATTGTAAGGTGTGCGTGTATATATATATATATATATATATATATATATATATATATATCGGTATACATTACGTCTAGTTTTCAGACAAACCTTTACAATAGATTCTTTTGTTCAACAAGAAGCCACAACTTTTCTTTCTCCTCCGTATAATGATATCGCTGCAGCAGTTTCACTCTAAATTTTTGAGACTCTTTCACAGTACATATTTAAAGTTCATCTTGGAATCTGAGTTGACCAGGAGGCCTAAATATTACAGGGATTGACATAATTGCACATTGATTCCAGTTGCTGTGCTTCACATTAATTGATCAAAGTGAAAGCCCAGAGAGAAAAGTCAGTTAAACAAAGCTTATAACATGAGTAGTCGTCAAAATGCTAAAGAAATCGAGCGGAATAAAGGATTTTTTAAATACAAGTTTGAGAATTTATTTTAGGTTAAAGCATGGAAACGTCTGTACTATTACCTACTTCTTATTGTTACATAAAATCTGTAATAAATTTTAGTTGTCTTGTGAACTTTGATCCTGTAAACGTACATTTCCCTTTACAACTCGAAGGAGCAGCCAAAAGCTTCATGGATTCCTATTCACATCTTAACCTGATCAGCCTTGATCTTTTTTCTAATTCAATCTATACGAAATGATGTAACTCATTACAGAGAAAGGCCATTTTTAGTATACAAACATTCACGATATTCCCTATTTATTTCTCCTTGTATAAGGAGAGGTATTGTCTCCGATAGAGTCCATCAACATCAAACCAATGATGGACACAGACAGATCATATTTCTATAAAGCATCTCTGAAGAGGACTGTTAGATGGTGGCTGCTCTTTCTGGAGTACTAGTTTGAACTCCGACCGCACACAAGTACGGTCTCATGCACGACTACGACTAATTAGTTTGAGGAAATAGTTGATAATAAAGCCTGTCTATGGCCGATTAGAAGACTAGGACGCCGAATGTGTTTTTAAGGAGCAGTAAGCTAACAGTTTATCTAAACACGGCAGTAATGGTCATCCTGATAAAACCTGGTGTGGTATTAGGCCAGCTGTAGAAATAGTGGTAAAGACACTTGATGGTGTAAACTCGAAGGTTAATAAACGTCATCAGATATCCACGGCGTTGTCGGAACTGATTATGCGAAAAGACTGATTCCATCAGGTTCTGATCAGGAAAAAGAGCGGAAGCAACTCAGACCAAGAGTGTTTGCACCGAACGCGAGCAGTAGTAGGTAGCAAAAGTGAGAGAGATGAAGAAGGCATCAGCGTTGGGTACCACTCGGTAACTATTTCGGCTTATGAAGGATGATGGCAGGAAGAAAACGACCGTTGGTGAAATTATCACTGAAAAGGATGGAACGCTGATAACCTCCCAGGACAACCACCCTTAATGTTGATTGAAACACTTTGAAGCACAGTCCAACGGGTACTTAGCAATGCCTCAGTTGCCCCACATCCAGCTAGCCCAAACATGAGTGGGACCTAGTTGTAGGTCTTTCAACTCTATTTTGAAGTATCAAATCTGAAACTATGGAAAGCAGTCAGACGTGACCCTTTGTTAGCTGAAGCTTTCAAGGATGAAGGTAGGAAATTGCAAATTAAAGTGATGGTGAAATCCGACTATGTGTGGCTGGCATCCGTTTTGCACCTGTCAAATGTAAGGTGATGATGCAGGACTGGTCAGCTGCAAGTGCTCACAGTTTAATACTAAGGAGCGAGGTAATGGATTGTGTCGACCACTAAGACAATCTCAGCTCGGATGCAGAAGGTCCGTTTGGTATTTGCTAACTTGCTTCATATTCGGCGCCGACTGGTGAGATATATAACTATCAATCAAAGGACGAGTATTCCGCACTGCAGTTCGTTCTTTTCATTTGTATGGCTGTGAGTTATAGTCTTTGAAAGTAGAAGACGTGAAGCGATTGCAGGGTTCTGATCACAGATGTCTTCGTCCATTGCGAGCGTTTGGTAGAATCGCCGTGTGAACAATGTTGAGGTCAGGCGAAGGATACCAAGCAAAGAGCGCAAGTTGAGGTTGTGGATCTTATCTGACTGCGATGGCTTGGGCATGTGTCGTGCATGCCCAGTCCCCAATTAACTCGATGTGCTATAATATGCGAAGTTAGTTCAAGTTCGAAGAGGGTTCAGGATGGCCAGAGTAAAACGTGTCACCAGTCAACAAAGCCTATAACTGATGATCCGAGCTGTGTTAAGAGATGTAGACTACCTGGCTGGGCTCCCTGGAATGATGTGAATGAGTGATTGAGAAATCTTACTGACATGGCTGGAAATTGGTTACAGTGACGCAGATGTATTCACTCTTTTGTAGCCTCTAAAGCCTGAATATTGGCACCAATCTTCATCCTCAAATTGTTGATTCTCTCTCACAAAACTTTGATATCACTCTTTTTCTATTCATTTGTTCTGTGTATGCTACAGTGAAGTGTGGCAACTTGAGTCAATGCACTTGTTTGCGAAGTTCTACGTTGATTTCGACTGTCTGTCCTTGTCTAACGTGGTCATTGCTCATATTGTGGTTCATTACCGAGATAAAGTGACCAAAGACTAGTAGCTTTTTGTAAATATTTTCCAGGGATATAATGTTAAGGGGTGCAGGATAATGCAGAGCACCAATTAGTATTGGCAACTAGCATATGGGCAGCCCAAGTAGCGAATTCGTTACACTAATTGAAAGACCTTGTCTGGAACCATCTTGGCATATATCATCAGATATAATGTAATTGCGTGTTTTTCGGGTGTCCTTTTTTATTAGATTTAGCCTAATGTTATGAATCAGTTAGT